AAAATTGACACTTTTTCAATCCAGTCAAGGAAAGCTTAAAGCATTAGAGGTGTCCTCCTCCAGAGAGACTACAAATACATGGAGTGGAGCCTCAGGCCCCACCAACAGTCATTTGGCACATACCTTTTTAAAGAACAAAGGATTCGTAACAGTAATTCCATAACAACCTCTTTCTACTCACATATGGAACCATGGTGGGATGCAGCGAAGAAAGGTAGATCTGCATTAATTTCACTGGTTTAAGTATATAAAGCATATACTATCCCATTAATTGAGTGAAAAAGCCTCAAATGTTAACATAGATAACAAAAGAAGAAAATACTAGTGCATACACACACACTGTATCAGAATAAAGTTACTTGAGAAAGCTGTTTCTGTGAACCTCTCTGCTTATTCTAGTCTTTCTTGGGCCTAAGTCATACTCGAAAAAAGAATCATAACAAATATATAAAAAAATGTTTTTTTCCAGGAGACCTTCAGGATGACTTGATGAAGAACCTGAGTAGCTTATAAACCACTGTAAAAATAGATGGGGAGGCTCACAAATTTGGGTAGTTCAAGATGATTTGAAGATACTGCATATCAGTTTTTTTTGTGGCAGCAAAAAAAGCAAAAGGAAGCAGCCAAGGTGAAACACATCTGAAAATAATCTGGATTCCCATCAGTTGACCCTTTGCTAACAAAGCAAAAAGACCATTCTGTGTCTGTTAAGTCCTACTGCTGTAAAGACACATCTCTGATGATCCCTTCCAACCCATGACATAGCTTGTGGGGCATGTGTAAGGTGGAGAATTATCATTACATAAAAACAAGAACAGCAAGACTGCAGGGGAAAGTGTGGCCTTTCATTTACAAAGCAATTCTGACCTCAGACCTTCCCTGGTCCAAGGAAGGGAGCTGCTGGCCCAGTCTCAGCTTAGGGACAGGTGCTGCATGACAGAGGTCACTGGTCTAATTAAAGGCAAACCCAGAAACTCCTTGAAGTCCCCCACCTTGCCCTAATCTCACTGAACTTGCTGAATGCAAATACCACTTTACATCAAAGCCACCTGGTTGTTTTTTTGGTCTTGTTTTGTTGGTTTTGTTTTTTTTTAAAATAGAAATATCATCATCATCATTGTCCTTTAAGAAAAAGAAACAGAAAACAAAAAACCCTAAAGAGATTGGTGGAAATCTTCAAACATCAGTGATAAACCCCTGTTCTGATGGACTATTTTCAGCAGCATTTTGAAGGTGTATTTTTAGGGATTCAATAACATTGAAGTAACCGGTTAAGGGAATTGTAATCACACAGAAGAAGTCGGATGCCTGTGTTCCTCTGTGTACATACAACATCCACAAGGCTTATGAAATCCATTCACAACAGAGGAAATACTCTAAACATATTTTAAGAGGCTCTGTCAGCAGTCTTACAGCAAGACTCATTCATATTTGTAAGTCATGAGGAAAATGCTGTTTTCTGTCCATGCTGTATGAACAGATTTTGTTTGGTCTACAGCTCATATTTAAGTTGCAAGTAAATAAATCATCCTGGCTGAATTAGCTGATGAATCCCATCCATGGTATTGAGAATAAATATTTGATTGGGACCGAATGAACTCTTTGCAGATTTGTGCTCATGTTTACGCATACTAGAGCTGCATGGAAAAAAAACCCAGGATACATAGGCTTTTTATCAAATTAGCCAAATATGTTTACCTGAAAAAAAAAAAGATGCAAAAGGCAAAAATAAAAGGATGCAAAAGGCAAAAAAAAAAGTGCAAGCCAGCTTTTAGAATTATTTTGAACATGATATGTTGACACTTTCATTCAAAACCAGATTGGACAGGAGGATGGAGGACAGTGAATCCTGACAAGTTGAAATGTAAATTAAGATGCTTTCTTGTCTTTACACATGCCTCCCAGAGAAACTGCTACAGAACAACAACTTGGGCCTCAAATGAAGTTCAGACCTTATCTGCAGGCTTAGAGAATACAATTACATAGCACCGAGATGAGATTGTTAATAAACAAAGAGGTGACTGGGAGCTGGAAATCAATACATTAATCATAACAAAGACATTGTCATTTTACAAGGTTTTGGAGTGATTTTGCACCAAATAAAACCTTATGGGAGAATGTCAATAAATGACTGTTTGGCTTCACATATTGCCTAAGCTGAAGTGAACAGGATACTTCCAAAACCAAAGCACACACTTTAGTTTAAGGGGGAAAAAAAATGTCATGCTGTAAAAAACTGCAGCAAATATTTCCCCAAGTCTCTCCAGCCACATCCCACCCACTCACTTAAGCTGTCAGCAACTGTTTCCCAAAGCTCTTGGAGGACTGTCATTAAACTAAACACCATACAGCAGAATGCAAGCTGGTCTCCACATTTTAAAGGATGGCAGCAGAAACATTAACTATTCCATCCTCAGTGGAATGTAAATGTTTCTCTCTGTCACAGAAAAATAGTGGAAAACAGATTCCTTTTGTCATTCTCTTTTCATGTTTCTATCCGTGAAAAATAAAGAGTTAAGAAGGATTTATCTTTGCTCCAAGTCCTATTAACTGTTCACCTGTCATCTATAGCATAATCTATTTATGTAACACTTTCTAAAGCTGTATGAAGCAAACTTTTCCAATGAGTAGCAGGTGAATTAATGACCTACTGGTTCTTGTTACACCACGTTTAGGACAATTAGAGGTCTTGCTTAAATGTTTGCTGAAACAAACCTTCCCCTGCCTAAGGGGCATATGCATAAAATTTTTTGAATGGAACCAAATGATAATATTATTGTATGATCCTTCAGACAACAAAACATGGGGCACTTGTAGGTGTAATCTTGAGCAGTTTGACATAAAATGCACCTTTCACTGTAGTGCAAGATTTGACACAGCTGACTAAACTGTAGTTCAATGTCCAGAGATGATTTAAAATAAATTCCTATAAATGTGAACATTCAACATTCATAAACTCTTTTTAAAATGCTAAACCAGATAAAATACTAAACAGTTTGTTTAAAATGCAGCATTATTATATTTCAAAACAAAGTACCTATCAGTGCTTACGATGACAAAATTTTACAACTGAAATTCTATCTGTAAAGTAGTTTCTTTAGAGTTTCCTGTCACTTTCTGAATTAATAGACTTTCAGGAAAACCACTAACAGGACAGCAGGTTTCCAGAACAGCCTTATAAATTAATTAGGGTATAGAAAACCTCATTCTACACAAGTTCAGTTCTGCCAACATCACAAATGAATCGCTGTTTATATGCTTAATCCACGAGATCTCAAGTTATTCACGTCCTCCTTGGCGTTTGCAGGATTAGACTGTAAGCATGTTGTTTCCTCCCTCTCCCTTCCTGTCAGTAAACGTGGGATCAGAGTTCAGAACATGCCTGATTCTGCTCTCCTAATCTCTAGTAATCTTCTCAGTGACACAGTATCTGTTGCAGAATATCGGGAGGCCACATCAAAGTGGAACAGTTAGTGGAAACAATAAGTTACATCCAAATTTATCAATGCAGGCTCCATATGCTGCCAAAAGGTAAAACAGTATCTATTCACATTCTCAAGTAACACTAAATATTAAGGTCAATATTACCTTAAATTCAGTAACTTCTCTCACAAAGCTGATTTACAAATACTACAGGTTGCGTAGCCCGGATGTGTTGCTACTTTAGCTCCTCACAGAAAATTCCAGGTGAAAAATCAACTACCACAGTGCTGTACACAAAAGAGGGTTTGCACAAACCATCATACAGAGTTCTACATTATGAAAATTTAATGGGTGGATTCAACCTACAGAACCCTCTGGAGCAGTTCTAAGGGGTAGAGAACAGAAAAGAGCATCCTCCTTCAAAGTCACTTGTGCAATCAGGTAGCAGAGAGAGAAGAAAAACAGCAAGACAGTACATTTTGGCAACATGGAACACAAAGCTGGGACCAACACTCTACAAAGGGCATTCCCAGCTGGAAAAAAAAAAATAAGTATCTATCCGTGAAAGTCTGATCATCTGCAGTTATGAAAAGGTTATGAAAAAGCTCAAGAAGGTGAAAGAATGTGTGAGGACTGAGACCTCACCCAAATGTCAGTTATGAAAATATATGTCCAAAACCCATCTTCGCCTCAGTGTTTGCCTAATATGGCTGTTCTGCTGCCTCTACTGCCACAAGGCCAGATCTAACTAAACAAACCAGAAAGACTATCATCACTGGCTATGGTCCTTGTTGAAACTATGCTGAACTTATACACATTATACATATATATATATATATATATACATATATACATACATATATATATACATACATATATATACACACACACATAATATTATATATAAATTATATAATTTATATATATGAAAATTATAGATATATAAATTATGCTGGGAAAATCTAGATTTCATTAGTTTTCAATATTTCTTTTTTTAGAATTTCCAGGGTTAATCCATTCACCAACAGACACTTGATTTTTCTTCTATAAATATCTTTCTTTTCTTCAGCTTTAATTAAGAATATATGGAAAAGCCTCACCTTTCCTAAAATTGGCTCTGCTCTCAAGACGTTATCTGCTCATTCAACATCATAGGTTTTAATAAAATGAATATCTCATTGTGTAAGAGTGATATTTCCCAACATCTCTCCTTGTTAGTTGATTGTTATGCAATTATATCATGCATTGCTTATACAGACAGGGAACACTGATGTTCAATTTTGTAAAACTACTACCTTATTCTAGGGAATGTTCTTTAAAATTCAAAATAGGACAACAGTTGTTGACAGAGCTTAGCAGGTTGTTCAAGGAAACGTAGCGTAGTAAAACTATGCTGCTTTTTAAATATTTATATCTTTTTAATCCTTGCAGAGGATAATCCTCTTTGCAGTGGGCAGGAACATGAATACCCATGATTGTTTTTAAGTCCTTCCTTTTCAAAAGTCAGATTTGCAATTTATTTCTGCCCTAAAATTTTACCGCAAGTACTTCTTAAAATTTTGCTGGGATCAATTTACCTTCCGTAAGCAAAGCGCCTGTCTTTGTGGTGGTCCCCAAATGTATCCCACAGCCTGAGAGAAACACTCACTTCATCCACAACATCTCTTGAGCGTTCGAGGACCTAGAACAGAGCACACAGAACGTTCTCTTTCCCTCCATCAAACAAGCACATTTCTAATTACCCCATAAGAAGGCCCAAAGCATACTAGGACACGGGTCTATCCCATATAGTTTTCACCAAATGTAGTGTTTCATAAAACAGGCAGGATTTGCACCTTCCTAAAAATAGGTTTGATAAAAAATTTCCTTTAGAATGAGAGGTGTATCAGACCATGGCTGCAGTAGAGATCGCTCATAAAATACTTGTGAGCTCATTGCTGCATCCTGACAGAGCAAGGCTTGCCAATAAATAATAGTCCCAGCTCACAGCATGTGCTCCACACTGTGTACACCTGCAGTCCTTACCTCTTGGCAGACACGGTACTGATCAATGGCCCAGACAGTTGGGACGTGAGTTGCCAGCAGCTGATACTGAGTCAAGGTTGTGTTGCAGGCTCTTGCACAGATCAGACGAGTCTTTCCCACTGCATTATCTCCAACCACCACACACTTGATAGTTTCAACGTTGGGTCTTTCGTAGTCCATGTCAATGTCCATTTATCAAAAACTGTAACAAGACGGTTAAACTTGTTTTCTACCACTGAGTGAAAACAATGCTATTCAGAATCAGAGCCTTTTACTTCCACTTTTGAGAGGTGCCTGAAGAGGACAACCTCTTAAGGAAAAGCTTGTAGTAAACTGTACCCAAGTGAGCTGGCCAGCCCTTTAAATGCCGCCCGGTTATGCAAATGCACAACTATTTTGACCACGGTTGGTTTTTGCTGTTCACATGCTATTTTCACTTCAGTTTCTGTAAACACGAGCCTGTTTGCAGAAGATAGATCTTGGTGAAACAAGGACAGCTAGCACAAACTTAACCTCTTGCTAATACTTTTTATGCCAGGAAGAAAAAAAAGGCTGGACATCAGTTGGTTTAACCTGAAGGATACCAGTATAAACCTGCCTTCCTCAATCCTACCCATTCAGGACTTGATTTAGGGCTGTCCAAACAATATTGGTAACAGCAAGTCACACAGATGGCTTTAGCACACAATAAAACTGACTTGTAAGGTGACTCCAGAGACTGTTCTCTACAAACCACAATTCCCATTATATCCTGTATGTATCCCACACCTAATTTTCCAAGCAGAAGTTTGTAGAGTTCATAGACTAAAATGAAACTAAAGAGCCAAGCAGGAACTTGCAAATATACATATATACCTAAAAATTCTTCTTGACATGACAACGGAAAGTGAAGAGAAGAAGTTTTTTGAAGACACTATCCTCATGGAAAGTTATTATTGAAACTATTTACTTAAATATTCTATGCCAACATATTGAACATATGCCTGGATACAAATGCAAGCTGGGAGAAATGGGTATTTCAAAAACTAAAACCAACTTATGCATGTTTACCACAGTCTGTCATTTTCATATGTGGGATCATAGTTTGATAAATCTGAATTTGGTTTTCTAATGTCTGGTAGTCTGCTGAGCAATCTGGTCTCTGCCAGGGAATTGTAATCAAGGAGGGAGAAAAGGGAAAATGCAAGTCACAAACATGTTCAGGAAGGCTTGCATAATAACTGTTTCAGCAAGAAAACATACAGCAATTTAATTGACAAAACACAGGTCATTATCTGAAATGATGGTGTCCCTTTTCCTGAGAAGAAAGCACTACAGATAAAGAAAACAAATTATTTGTTTTAATACCTTTTTTAATATTCACATCTCATTCACACATTAATACAGAATATATATTAACTGTCAGGCTGCTTAAAATAACAGGTACAAGTTGTTTTGGTGTCCATTTTTCACTGTCAGAAGCACTAAGTTCTGATTTAAGAACAAGCAAGTTTAGTAACAGTTAGTCAAACACTAATTTTTACTGTATTCTTTCATTATTTAACCAAGAAAATGAAAGTCAGAGTTAGAACCAGATGTTACCTATTTAGATAAAATTTTGAGTATGGGCCACATGTTAACAGCTATAATGGCTAAGGTACAGTTGTTATCTTCATTTACATGTGGATGGAGGAGTTAGGGATGACACAGACAGCAAGGTGCAAGGGTGAGTTTATGCCACTGCTGTGTCACACTGACATGTTGTTACAGACACTGAATGCTCCTGGACATGCTACAGCAGAGACCAGCACATAAGAATACATTTTAGAGTGATCCTTCACTAGACTGAAACACAAGCCCAGAAACTTTTCATCCTGGCACAAGTACGTGGTTGCACAACCAGAACTTTGCAATCTGCCAAATGTAGAGCAAATAACAGGGTTTCAAACACACACACAGAGTATGTAAACCCCAATGGCCTTGTGATCCCAACCTGCTGGGTCGGCACAGGGGTTTGAACTGATAGGGATACAAAGCTACAAAGATACTGCCTTTATCCCTTCATCTGAGTTGTAACCTGCATCCTGAAAGGTTACCAGTCTTGGGCTAAAGCACTACAGAGACTTCCAGTTGCCTGTCTGTGATCCAACCACAGCTGCTTGTTGGATGCAGGCTCCCATGATGATGACACCTGGGACGGCCTGTGGGCTCTGCACCATCTCTGTGATTCCAAACAGGAGAAGAGAACTGAGAGCTAACTCCTCTTGCCTCCTCAGCATCCTCGTGAAGAATACAGTCATGATATAAATAACAGTACAAAACCAAGATGGTTTCTTCCACATTACAGAGAAGGAGACATGTTTCTAGCCCACGGCCTCTTAGGCAGGGCCCTGAATGAGCAGCAAAAACCCAAGAGCTTTCAGCATGGGATCTTAAAAAGTTTCATTTCAAGTCTGAGAATAAACAGCAACCCCCTGACATATTATGTGGTATTAAATTACTTCATATTTTATTCATGCATGGACTAGACATCACAGATGGAATGTGGAAATGTTTACAAGGCTAGAAAACAAAATGAAGGAGCGTGGTTAGCCAGTGTGTCTGGTTGGTTTTAAACTACCAAGCAGAGATGCCAAATCAATTTTTCTTCCAACCCAATATTCCATTAAAATACTGTTACACAAATTAGCTGAGGTTTTTGATATAACAATTTGATTTAAAAATTCTTCAAAAGTTCTTGAATGGTAGTTCTGCAAATATGTGCTTCAGTCAGTCACAAAATATGTATTAAGTACAAAGTCTGGAATCTTTAAAAAAATTTCCAAGAGGATAACGAGGCCAGTTTAAAATTAACAGGCAAAGCCAAATAAAAGTAACTAGTTAAATCAATGCAGCTATCTGAGAGTCCTAGAAAAGGAACACATGAAAAAATTTAGAAATTATTGATTTTTTTTAATTTTCCAATATACTTACTAACTTAATTAAAGCAAAGTTATTACAGGGCTCAGACACAGCATGCCCGAATGCACTGCTGTAGATCAATGGCAATCTAATGAAGATATTTTTAGCATGACCATACTGCACAGGACAGAGATTAAAATAAACTGGGAATAAAAACAAAACTAGAGCTTTGTGGGTACGATAAGGAAAGTTCTTAAATCCGCTCTAGTATATATGGTGTAACTATGTATTAAAAATGTGGATCATTTTAATATTGTTTACTAGTTTTCAGGAAGGGATTAAAGCAGAAATAGCTCTTAAAGAGACTGACAGACAGAAGCCTGGACAAATATCTAGACAACTCAAATAAAACCAGATGCTAACAACAAATTACAGTATAAACAATTAGCAAAACAAGTTGATTAAATGCTTACAAATGTAGCCAGAAACCCTCTGGCTACTGGAATGATTAAAGCCAGGAATATGTGCAAGATCTAAAAAATACAGCCACAGTTAGTTTTTTTTAAGGTAGCCTCTAGGTTAAGCTTGTGCTAAAACCTATTACATAATCACACTGATTTAAAATGCTAAACATGTATTTACAAAACTTAAATAAAAAATCAACAACAATGAAAACGTTGGATTTGAGCTCTGAAAGTCTGGTAAAATCTGGGAAGGCAAACTGGAACAGATACTGAACTGGTTAGACAAGAACAAACCAGCATATATAAAGATTAAAAAAAAAAAAGGCATAACATTCCAACACCACTACAAAACTTGCTAAAACCAACATACAACCCGCAATAGTTTAGTTTACCAACAAGACAAAGTAGGGTAAAGCTCAGAGGAAAGTTACTGGAAGTATGACCAGTCTCAGAGAGGGCACTACCAAAAAGTCCAGAGAAAGACAGAAGGGCCTTCAAATGAGGGGCAGCAGGAAACGTAGTGAGGCAAAGGTCTGATCAGAAATGGCTGTTCCCAAAAGAAAGCAGAGCAAGATTCAGCTCCTTAATCCAGTTCTAAAGAAAGAGGAGCAGATGGATGGAAATGAAAAAAGATACCCGTAAGAATAACACAGGATCTCAAAAATCTCTTAGGATGTTTCCATTTTTACATTGTCACCTGTGACTGTTTGCAGATGAAGGGAAGACAAAGATAGCCAAAAATAAGGAGATGTGAATAGACTCAAGATCTAACATAGAGCCATTTTATTCATTTCACTTGATTAGCACCTAAGAAATATTCCAAATAAAGCTGATTTATTTCCAAAGAAGTAGAAGGTTAGTGTTTTGAACCACGGCTTGCAGATGGTTACGGTTGCTGATTTCTTTCTCTGTTGCTTCACTTCAAATTGCTGTAGGGTGCTTGGTTTTTTGTTTAGTTTTTCCTCACTGCAAAATGAGTTGTTATTATTATCACTAAAAAACAGTTGTGGTTGCCATAGCATGCAGGCTAGTCAGCCTCAATAATGAAACACTGCCTTTCTACAGAAATTTTCCAAAAGATCTGTAGATGAAGCACATCACTTCATTATCTAGTCCCCTGGTACACAAAATTAAACACAGACACACACAGTCTCTCTCATTCTTTGTATTAAAGTAGGTGTACTAGTACACAGCAGATAACCAGATCCTAACCATGAACTTGTCTTGTTTTACAAATGCAGTTATTATATTTAAAGCTATAATTGCATTTTTCTCTGCTAGAAAGAAAGAGGATGAAGATCCAAACCCAATAGCGAGTTGCCTGTGCAGGATCATGAACCCACCCCTACGGATCCATTTCGAAATGTCCAGATATTTTAAATCATCACTTAACATATACAAAACATAATCAAGATTTTTTTTTTCAAAGACCAGTAGCTAATTATCATCCCTTTTCCCTTCAGCAAAACACCATAAACAAATCACTAAGAGTGATTAATCAGTAATTATGGGGTGATCCTTCTTAGCTATGTACTTAAATATGCCCCATAAGACTGAGATAGCACCCCTTAGCACGAAAACAAGAAAGCATTTTACCTAGTTGTTGTGTTAAGAGCAAACTCTTCAGATGACAGTTCAGAATGACAGCATGTAAGAACCCTTCCTGCTCACTAGTTTTTCTGTAAGTTATTCCATGGAAAAAAAAAAAAAATTCAACCTGTCTCAAGTAATCTGACTAAACATGCAAACCAGGAACTCCTTTAAACAAATGGGTTGCCAACCACAATTACAATGTCACAATTTTATTAGAGAAATCTAATGGAAAGAGACACCAAAATCCAACATGACTTAATATGAA